TATAAGCAATTTTAATTTATATTAGATGAAAATAGATGTGAAAGATGAAACAAAATGAAAGGCGAAAATAGGGCAATATTGATAATGATGATAATAATGATGATGATAAATATAGTTGTTTTATTTTATTGCATATATCTCGCTTCGTCTAATATCTAAGTTGCTTATAACTCAATAAATAAATTTCAACCAAGATATTTTTGTATATCAATTTTTATGCTTGTATGCATATTACGTATAGAATCAATTCATCAAAGATATTCCATTAATATACAAAATGCCCCATTGTGAATGAATGACATAAAAACAAAAAAGATTCATAAATATATGCTCTATTTGACTTTGTTATAATGAATTTCTTCTTCAACATTTCTTCAACATACTATTCTCATTTTTCTTCATAAAAATGTTCTTCACAAAATATTTCAACGTGAATGAATGACATAAAAACAAAAAAGATTCATAAATATATGCTCTATTTGACTTTGTTATAATGAATTTCTTCTTCAACATTTTTTCAACATACTATTCTCATTTTTCTTTATAAAAATGTTCAAATGATATATATATATATTAAGGTGTCCCATAAGTTTTTTTTGCACAATGTTAGGAATGACTTTAGTTGATTATTTTTATATGAATATGCAGGCTTATCTATTAGTCGTTATTATATTATGGTCTTAGTTTCATCCCAGAGCTCTTTTAACGTTTTACGTTTCATTGGTGACATAGTTTCTTTTAAAACTTTTCTACACTATCCAATATAGCAAAGGAAGCATTTGCTTATTATGTTTTATTGTTTTAAAAAAAATAAAAGTACAAATGATACTGTAGACGAGATTTGTACTATTTACGGGAATGGTGCTACAACTATTACATCCGCAATTGATTTAAGAGATTTAGAACTAGCAATTTTGACTTGAAAGATGAAAACCGCAACAGCCGCCAAGTAACGATGAATATGGATCTTATCAAGACCATGTTTGTTGAAAATCCGCGATATAGTATGCAAGAGATAGTGGATGCCATTAACATTTCAAGAAAAACAGTAGATAATCACCTGATAAGATATGTCAATCGATGTGAAGTTTGAGTTTTATTGAGACCAACTTTATAAACCGCGTCTTTACGTGCGATTTCCTTCTTCAGCGATATGAAAAAAATTTTTTTTTAAAGAGGCTTGTCACTGGAGACTAGATTTGGATTTTGTATCATAAATGTGCATCGTAAACGCATATTGATTTGAGGACAATAATCTTCAATTGTCACGAAGCCTGGATTTTACCCGAAGAAAATTCTTTTATCCATTTGATGGGATTGGAAAGATGTAGTCTACAGTAAGCTTCTTTCTTAAAGTGAAACCATCAATTTTGGAAAATATTGCAATCAGCTTAATAAATTGAAAGACACCATAGCAGAAAAATGGTCAAAATTGGCGAACCGATGAGAACATCACGATAATGCAAAACCGCATGTTTTCTGTTGCATTGATTGCAAGAGAAAAACTGAGTTTGATTAGGACGTTCTATCGCATCTTCTCCCCAGATCTTGCTTTATCCGACTTTTACTTGTTCCTATTATTAAAAAATTCTCTCTATGATAAACGATTCTAATTCGAGCGAAATAAAAACACACTTCGAGGAATATTTTGCAAATAAACTTCAACAATTTTGAAAAAAAAGAATAATAAGACTTTCTAAGAGATGAAAGAAGGTGAGCAGAACGGTTCATATATAACGCAATAAATTAAACAATTATCAATTAAACAATCGTGTATTCATTTCGTATCAAAAAAAAAAAAAAAAAAAAAAGAAACTTATGGGACACCCTAATATAATAAAATACCTTATGATGAATTTTAAATAACCTCATAGATAAAAATCTATTAGATTTAAGTCGGGCATACGGACAAGATATAGGAAATAAGATTTTCTATTATTTAGATTATTTAAATATTTATTATTATATTCTATTTATTTTGAAATTGTTCATTTAAAAATTATCTCGCTACTTAATTAAAATGGAGCCTCTTCCTATCATATGTAACAAATGGTATCAAGTAATACATTTGTTAACATCATATTAAAATTTACATAGAATATTATTATTTATATTATATTATTTATAAAATATATAGAAAATTAACTAAATTAATTAAGATAGAATTAATCTTACAAAGAGAAAAAACGCGATTAAAATATTTATTATTCATGTCTATATATTTAAATTAAATTTTTTTCTGATGTCATAAGGAAATGATTTGATGTAAATTCTTTTTAAAAATTTATTACATTGTTTTTGGTGAATTCAGCTTTATCAATAAATAATATCAAATTCAGAATTCTAGTCAAATATTTGAAAAAAAAAATATGCCAAGTATAAAGAATTATTCTAGATTTAAAGTTGTTTTTTTAAAAATCTCTAAATTCGTTGTATGGATACAATTTTCTGCTGTTGTTATTCTCCAATGCTGTCTTTATCATTTCTATGAATGCGATTAAGAATTTGTTAATTTTTAAGCATAATTTTTAATATTAAAATTTTTATCAGTACCAATATTTTTTTTTTGGAAAAATTCACAAAAACAATAGAATTTATGTTCTATTACATAGACATTTGCTCGGAAAAACGGTTTTATATATAAATGTTTTATTTTAACAATATTATATTGGACAAGGTCATATAGTATCTATCTACTATTTTTTAAAAGAAATTTAAGAAATTAAAGAAAGTTTTCATTTTCATATATCATATAGAATTTATACAATAAAATTCGAATTCATTTACAAATAATGGAATTAGATTTGCTCATCATTCGATAAAATTATTTTAACATATTTTAAAATTTTAAAATTTTTATATTTTTATATTTAATACAAAATTAAAGTCAAAGAGGATATATATTTATATGAATTTTTTTTTATTTTTTTCATATAGATTTATTCACTAAAATAATTCTTTGATGCGATGGAATATTCTATATTAATATATAAATATATATAATAATATAGAATCAAAGAAAAAAAGTATAAATATTTATGAATGGATATGATATTTGAAACAAAAAATTGTTCATATTTAATAAACATTTTCATATTATTATATATTTGTATACAAAGGTAAGTTTCTAGAAATATTATATTTTTATGGAAATGTACAAATAAAATAAATGTAAAGTATATTAGCATATAATACTATATTATTTTGAATTTTTTATTTCGTTTTTATAAATTATTAATATTAATAAAATAATATTAAAAATTTTTTCGATAAAATTTAATAAAATGAATTTATATAAAATATTTTATTTGATGATTATAAATTTAAATTATAAATATCTCTTTGTCTTTTTCAATGTTAATAAATATATTATTCATTATTATTTAATAAATTTTATTACAATTTTTAAGAATTAATATTATATTAATAATGCATTTTATAAATATATTTTATAAGAAGAAACATTTTTAATGATAATAATGAAAAAAATATAAGTTATGGTCAATCTCATAAAAACATATTTATTTATATTTCTTTGTGATTTATTTGTTAAATAAAAATATAATAAAATTTTTTTATAATATAAGAAATATATATCAAACAATATAGTTTTGCATTTAGTTAATAATTAATTCAAACTTTTTCGTTGTTAATTATATCTTTATATGATGTTTTCCATAAATTTTTCACTATATATTATGAATAATGATTCGATTTAAATTATGATTTATACAACTAGTCTTCTTATAACATTACATTTATTTGTTTACAAACTCTTTTGACTTATATATATGAATATAATAACAGTTATAAATTTTAATATTTTTAAGTAATAACATAAAAAAATCTCTATAAATTTCTTAACATAGATATCATGTATTATGAATTATTCAATGACATAATCAATATTATTTATTTCTAAAGTATTTCTATAATTTTTAAGTTTTTTTCTATTTTGTGATTGCTATAATAATAATAAAAAATCATTATAAATCTTTAAAAAATATCGAAGTTTAATTAAAAAATTTTTAATTTTTCTGATTGCTAATAAAATCCATATTAAAAATAAAAAGCTATTAATCTGATATTGCATATATAAATTTCTTTTGTTAAATTATATTTCTTCATAGCGATAACAATCCTTTGGAAAAATCACTTATTCAAATTTTAAAATTTAAAAATTTTTTCTGGCAAATGTTTGATTAAAACTAATTTTAAAGAAGAAAAAGCTTATTTATTAATCGTTCACCATTTTTAAACTTATCGATCAAAGTAAATATATTTTTCATATATATTTTTCAATGTATATGAATACAAATCGCGAAAAAAACGAATCTTAAATAATTGTATTAATTTAATAATTTAATAATTAAAGTAATTGTATTAATTATCTTTAATACATTGGATTTGTATTCAAAATATATAAAAATCAAATAAAAAAATCGTATAAAACAATTTGTAATTTAAATTAATATTTAATTTTTTAGAATATCTTAATTTAACCTTTTTAATATATTTTTCATAATATATGCTTATGATATTGATTTTTTCAACAATTGTATATACCGAAAATCATATATAAAAAAAAAATAATTTCAATATTATTTCAATATATTAGAAATATAGAAATTTATTTTATTTTATTACTATTAAATTAGCAATTATGATAGCAATAAATTAGTGCAAATATATTAATAATAAACAAAAAAAAAGTAATAAAAAAAAATTTCTAAATTTACTTTATTATAATTATTATTGTAATTTATTTTCTTATGAATGTAAATAATTGTTTTTTATGAAGAATGTATATAAGTAGTTACTAAGGAAGTATTCAAAAATATTCTCAAATATTAATGCAAATATTAATTTAAATGCAATAAATTAATATATGCACACATAACTATTCTGTTATGAAATTATATTTAATTTATTGACAAAAATATAACAAATTTTACTTAATATTTTGTTAAAAAATTATTGAAGGATTCGTTACTAAATTATACAAAAAAATTTTTGAATAATACGTTAAGAAAATTTCCAAGAGGAAGTATTTAAAATGAATTATCGTATTCTTTCTCGTTACCATGGAATTACAAAATAATTGATTTAACAAGAAATATCATCGCGTACTGTTCCTTAAAGTGACGTACAAATTGTTCGTGTATAATCATAAGTAGAAGCTGATTGATAAAAAATGCAAGCTAAAAAAAGAAAAGTCAAAACTAAAAAAGTAAAGAGAAAATATTTGGATGAAAAAGAAACTTTGTCTTATGAACAAGAAATTTTGGATAATAATAGACAATTAGCACGGTAAATATATATATATAAATGCATAGATTTATAAATACTAATTTTTTTAAATTCATATATATTGATATTTATTAAAGTTATTGAATATACAATGTGTATGTATATACATATGTGTATGAATATACGTATTTATATGTATATTATACATTTAAATTTCTGATTAAGTAAGAATATAAATGAATTTAAATGAATTTAGCAAAATATCGATTAAATTATAATCGATTTTATTATTTATTTCTTCTCAGATAGCATAAAAACATTCCATATACGTGACTTAAAAATATTTAAATACTAATATATCTTTAATTTTAATAATCTATTTTAATAATCTATTTATTAAAAAAATTATGAAAAAAATAAATTCAAATTTGTTTTTTTTGATAAATAAATATATATTTATTATACTTTATTAATATATAACTTATTTAATTAAGTTGACATATAAAATAATATTAAAAATTAAATGAAATTATAACTGTTTTTCATATCATAAGTTATATTCAGATATTTTAATAATAAAATATTTTTATAATAAAATAATTAAAATAATAATTTTTTTGTAAAAATTAAATATTAATTTTAATATTTTTTTAATTTTATAACATATTTTTAAGTAATTTGAGATAGTAATGCAATAATTTTTTTTTATTAATTTTTTATTGTTTTTTATATCTTATTTTTATTTTTGATAAATATATTATTTTTGTTTATTATTGTTTTTTACATTTAATAACATTGATATAAAAATATTCATGCAATTGTAAATTATTTTAATATAATAATTTAAATGTGTAATGTGTCCGAATATTTACAAATTAAAAATTTTTCTTCGGTTCATGTTGTATAATAATGCTATTAAATAATAAATTAATATGTCATTATTTTTTTATAACTATATTATAATATGATATTATTATAATATTATAATATGTAATATTATAAGAATGTATTATATAACTATTGTTTAATTTTCAAAATATTTGTAAAAAAAATTGTTATTATAGAATTTATATAGAATTTTGTTATTTATTTATTTATATGTATATATGTCTATGAAAACGTATACGATTATCGATTATTAACTGTTTATGTAAACATATCAAAATCGATATTCAAAATGTATAGCGGATGAGTTAATAACTTATTGTTTTTCTTAGTTTATCCTTAAAAAGCGAATCCTTCGAAATATGAAAATAAAATATAAAATAATTTTTAGCGATCAAAATTATAATGATCGAAATTTACAATGATTGAAATTAAATATGATGCTGATATTGCTACTATTTAACTTTGCAATATCAAAAATCACTTCTCTATGAAGAACAAAACATTCATATACAAAAATTTTGATTAAAACTTATTTTTTAAAAGTGTTTAAATAGGAAATATAGAATGATATTATAATTATAAAGCACAGCTTTGCTCTATCTTCACACTGACTTGTTTTATTTAATAAATTTAAATTATTTATTATTTTATAAATTTCAACATTTATTTTCAATATTTTTAAAACATTCAAAATTTAGATATGAATTAAAAAACAAATATTTAGAATATGTAAAATTTAAATCCTAAGATTCATAGAACTTCAGAATTTAAAACATTGAAATTTACTAATATCCTAAGGATATCTAAAATGAACATAATATATACAAATAAAAATTGAATATGAAACATGATGCTATTTGGATTTATTTCATATTTTATTAGAATATAAAATAATTAAAAAAAATAATAAATAATTATTCATATAAGAGGAGGGTTCTTGATTTCGATGATTTTTGAATATATTATAGAACACAAAATTTTGAAAAATTTTTTTTTGCATATTACCAATTTATTTGCATATTGTCAAATTTTAATTTTTAAGATATTTGCAAAAAAGATTGCTACTATTACATAGAATTTTTTTTATAGGTATATTCGTGTCTGTACGTGTGTGAGCATGTAACCATTATTTATCTTCTGTTAATATAAAATGGCAGCAGCAGACAATATAATGAATTAATGAAAAAATCTATTTCATGAATTAAAGTAATTATTATTTAAAATATCTCAAATCTAATGACCTAAGCTTGTGAAAAGACGGAAAGCAAAAAACCGAAATTACAAAAATAGATACAAGAATGATGCTGATATTCATTATAAATTTGGTCTTTATAATTTTTTTACAAAAATTATTTTATTTTTGCATTCCACGAATCCAACGAACATCGCTCGCTATTATTTTATAAATATAATAGATAAATGAGTGTATAGTTATATGCATACCCAACCACAAATATATATATATATATATATATAAGAGAAATTTTATGTAATAGCAATTTTTTTTGCAAATATCTCGGGAAGTAAGATTGCTGATTAATGATACAATATTCAAAGGAAAAACTTGTTCAAAATTTTATTCTGTATATCCAAAAATCATTAAAATCGGTATGATATTTTAAAAAGAATAATTTAAAAAATGTTAAAGATAAACGAATATTATACAAAAGTTAATAATTTGGAAAAATGGAATTTCCAAAAGAGAAATGCAATATATGTATATATATGTATAAGTATGTATTAAAATAATAAATAATAAGTTTCTTCTTTTTAAAATTTTCTTACACTTTAAAACTAGAAAAAATATTTAAAATTGATATTTATATATAAAATATTAAAAAAAAGAAATACAAAAAAAATAATAATTTAAAAATAGAGAAGAATTTTTGAACTAATGAAATTTAACAAAAATAAATTAGATTAAGAACTGAAAATGAAAAACTGGAAGAAGAAGCAATGCGCATAAAAGAAAAGTTCCAACAATTAGAAGAAGATCGTTCGGATATTATAGCATATTTGAAAAGAAGTTTAGAAAACAGAATCGAGGAATCGAAGGAACTTTCTGAGAGGGTTGCTGTTTTGGAAGAATTGCGAAAGGATGAATTAGCTGCGTTTAAGAAGAAGGAAGATGCAATGCAACTGGAATATAAGACAATGGAAAATAATTTAAGCGCAGAAGTTAAATTAGCTGGTGAAGTATAATTCAATTTTTTTAAAAATCCTGATTAAATTAGTATTTTGCTAAATATAGAAATTATATATATATATATATATATAAATTTTCGTTAAATGAAAGGAGGCAGAGACAATGCTAGATGATGAAAATACAGCTATCTCATTTTATTCAATATTTAATATATATATATATATATATATATAATTACATTATAATTTAATTTAATTTATTATATATTATATATATATTATATATTATACATAATATATAAATATATTTCGAACAATTAAAATTACAATGACTATTAATTTTCATTATTAGTGATTGTATATTATTAATAATTATCCGAATTTATCCGAGTCTGAATATTCTATTATTTTTTATCTATATTATTTTTTCTATTCAGATATCCATATAGTCGAAATATGCATTATATTTATGCATGTACAATATATATATATATCGATTTTGACTTCGAAATCTGAATATTCAGATTACGTCATTTTTTGTTTATTATTCAAATATAAAACATTTATTATATTTGAATTATTTATCAGATTTATTAGATAGAACAAATTTAAGTAAGAAATTAAAATAAAAAAAATGCGAATAAATAATACATTTATTAATATTTCATTTATATTATCTTTAGAAATAGATATAGATATAAATAGACAATATCTCTGATATAATCTGATACTAATATTTTAATTTCTATTATTATTATTATTCATAGAAAAAATGTTTTAGATAAAAATTAAATAATTTCAAGGAAAATTTCAGATTCTAATGTGTTGTTAATTTTTTTTATAGATGGATACTTAAAGATTATGTAAAAATTTTTATTTTTTTAAAAAGAATAATTTTATTTTTTAATATATTAATTGATATTCTCCATTAAATTATATATAATTTACTATTAATAAACTATTAATAAATAAATATTTTAGTTTTAATTTCGTCAAATTTAATATATGAGAAATAAGAAATATAAACACAAGAATATTATTTTATGTGTTCTTGTCTTTCATTCATTGAATTCAAATATATAAGAAAAGTTTCATATTATCTGAATAGTCATTATTAGATTCAACATACATTCAACATACAGATAATCATATTCATATTTTCAAATTGATGTTTAGTTTATAATAAATATTTATATAATAAGAATTCTAATATGCACTATAGATAGAATATAATAGAAATGTGTAATAATAGAAGCAGTTTTAAATTCATTATCTATATATTTTAATATTATAAAATTTATCCTACATATACATATATTTATTTTTAATATTTTTAAAATATTAATAAGCTTTTTATTTTATTATTTATTATTACATGCAGATATAATTAAATAAAGTATATATATTGTCGAATATATAATAATTTTTAATTGTCTTTATATAGATGAATTTTAATCATAATTAATTTTATTGTATTTTAAAAGTAATAAAAAATAAATTTATTATTTATCGTAATCTTTTTGTTTAGCTGGTAAATTAAATGCATTAGAAGATTGGCGAATAGCCCGACTTGATTTGATGAACAAATTTGAGAAACAAGAAAAGGAGATGGCTGAACAAGAAATGCGTCATAAAGAGGAACTTTACGAAGCCGAAAAATCTATAGTTACCAAAAAAGACATGTATGTTTCATTAAAAAATTCAAATTTAAAAATAATTTAAAAATTTAAAAATAATCTAATCTAAATAAGTTAAATTACGGATGTTTATACAAATACATATTTCTATAGAAAATAGATATAATAAATAGAAAAATAGGATTAATATAGTTTATTTTCTCATTTAAGAATTTCAAAAAAATATATTTTATTTTAAATATGTTGCACATTGCATATTATATATTATTTTTTTATTACGTATATTATGTACATATATTTTTTGTACATTTTTTATTTAGTTATTAATTATCTACTAAATTTAAAATCAAATTATTAAAACTGTTAAATACTTGTTAATAGTTTTTTGAATCATATATATCTATGATATATATACATGATATATATACATATCTATGATATGATTATACATGTATATAATACAATTATCAATGATATATTATAGCACAATCAGATTCTAAAGTATATATATATTATAAAAAGTTAATGAAGAAGAATGTTGATTTAAGAAGCAAGAAATCCTTTAAGAAATAGATATCTGAAATTAATGATTCTCATTTTATTTAGTTACTTGTGATTTATGTAATATTTGAAATTATAAAAGCGATTTTTAATTATATTACATATATAATATTAATATATTCATAGAATATCTTTGGAAAATTAATGCTATGAATTTAAAAAAGCATGTATACACAAAAATTATATACAAATATATATATATATATATATATATATATACAAAAATATCGATTAAAACTTAAATTAATTTAAATTAATAACTTAAATATTATAATTTAAATTTTCGTTAAATGAAACGAGGCAGAGACAATGCTAGATGATGAAAATACAGCTATCTCATTTTATTCAATATTTAATCTCGAAAGATTTCCTATGAATATATTAATATCCTACATAAGTTTTTTATTATTTTCTAATTTCTAATGCATCTATCATATTCTAATACAATAATGAATAGAAATACTTATATGATTCGTATATCAATCATTTTAAATAAAGATAATTTTTTTTATATTTTCAATTATGACGTAATGCAAATATATAGCAAATATCTATATTTTATTTTACATATGTAAATAATAGACTGTAAATATTTATGCAAATTATAAAAATTCTATTATATATAATATTAAATATATATTTCGTTTCGAATATTTAATATCTTTTTGAATATTATATGCATTCTGTAAATTTGAATTATTCATAAATGCATAAATATCTGTAGATTAATAATAAGTAAATATAACAAGTATACATACACATATACAAAAATAAAAATATAAATAGAAAAAAATTTGTTTTAATTCAATTAATTCTTAATTTATACATATCATAATTAATATTATTAATTAATATATCATAAAAAGTTTTATTTTTATTTCTTCATTACATAAGATTATATACAGGATTAAAATATATACATATATATAATAATATATACATATATGAATACATGTACATATATACATATATTCATATACTTAAAATATATAAATTTCTATTATCTTTTATACATTTAAAAATAAATTAATTAAACTATTATTATTCTTATTATTATATATTATTATTTTTATTATTATTCTTTATATTTATTATTTTCGCCAAGGTATTTTATACAGATTATGTTTCATTATCACAAATAATAAACATAAATTTTAGAAGAAATATAAAACAATAACATATATAACTATTCTTTATTTTTCATATATTTTATTTATATTATGTATATGTTGACATATTATATTTGTATAAAGATCCGCAAACTAATAATATTGCATGTAATTTAATAAATCAAAATTATTGAATTAATGAATTATTGAATAGAATGAAATCACTCTATCTTTATAAATTTTTTTTTTGTCTTATTTCATGTAATGTGAATTTAAATTGCTTATAATTTAATAAGTAACACATTTATATATTTTGATTTTGAGACTCATAAAATTAAAGCCACGTGTAACGGAAAATTCTATTTAAAATGATGTTTTTTATAACATATTTCAAGTAATCATAATCATTGAAAAGAAGGAAATAAATCGACATATTAAATACTAATGAAACATTGCAAAATACAAATGAAGTAAATAATAAAAAAAATTGTCTTTTATTTATTTAAAAAATACAAGTATAATAAATTATTCTTTGCTAAATGTTAAAAAAACATTTAAATTATTATATAAATAGAGATGAATTTGCATATAAAATATTTGCCAAAAACTCTACTAAAATACAAAGAATAGTTTATTATTATTAGGAGTATTTAAGTATTATTAGGAATAATTAACTTATAGGTAACTTATTTTTTAAATAAAATGAAGTAGAATTTTATATGTCAATCAAAAAAAGAGAATATTTATAGAATAATAATTAAAATAAAAGTATACATATTATCCTTATAAAATAATTAAGAAATAAAGGATTTGAAATTAATATCATAGTTAAAACATCCAGTTTGAAAACAAAAGAACTTTTTTATAGATCAGAAATCAAATAAAAACAGAGAAAAGATTAATATAAAGATAAAAAAATATATTAGAATTTAGAATTAAAAATTTATTTAGAAAAAAATAACAATTACCTTGCAAAATGAAAAATATCATAATGTTTTCGATAGTATTTTTTTGAATATTTGTTTTATTAATCATATCTACATGATCAAACAACAAAAATATCTTTTAAATTTTTTCATAATAAAAAAATATATCTTTACATAAATATTACATAGATATTCAATTCTCATCTGATTATTCAGCAATAATAGTAACTTCAAGAAAACATACAAAAGGAAGGATAACCTACTTAAAAAACTAAAAAATTAATTAGATATAATTCAAAGACTAAGTAATATAAGAGACTAAGTAATAATAGGTAAAAATTTAAATTTTAAAATTTTAAAAACTTAAAATCATAAAATATCTAGAAAATTTAGAAAATTTAATATAAATTTTCTAATATGCGACATGAAAATTCATTATTATATATTCATATTAAAAATAAAATATTTCCAATTATTGTAGAGAAAGAAAAAATAATAAATATCAAAATATAAAGAGAAAAAAATATTTAATTAATTATGTAAATTAAAAAAGCTACTGCATGTAATGTTTATGTAAATATTGTATATAAACAAAAATGAAAATATTTGGGAATTCATTGAAAAAAAATAAGACGATTACTCATTAAAAATTTAAAAAGCTAAAACAATGTATACCTTTATGAATTAAGAAAGCAATATCTGATTAGAGAAGATAAAAAGAATGGCAAAGATTTGCAATTTGTAATACACTTTTCTAAAGATATTAATAATAAAAAAAGAACTAAAAACGATAATAATGCTATCATATCATATTTAGATGCCATTAAATCTATAGAGTCCCATAGAAAAATAAATGAAATAATAAAATTTCTAGTAAATATTCAATAAAACAAATAAAATAGTTTAACAATGGAAAAGCAATAGAGACTTGATCACAAAGGAAATTGCTGGCAAAGTTGCTAAAAAAATTTCCAAAAAAGAAGAAGTTACATTAACATGTGTGTGTGTGTGTGTGTAATATGATTATAAGGTTTCATAATATTTTTTAATTCATTTCAATTAAATCAATTAAAAAAATTTGCAATAAATTATTACAATCAATTTATAATATTCTATTCACAATATCAAAAATATTTAAAAATATCTATATTAAAATTATTAAAATATATGACTATGCAAATAACAATGGAGCATATACATCGAATTGTAAATGAAACAGAATAATTTTGAAAAAAACAAGATATATTCAGTTATAATCATAGATATTAGCCAATTTTCTAATATTTGAAGGAAGATTACTTTATATAAAATAAAACACGATTTTCCACACAATTATTATTTTAATTACTATTAAAATTTAATATAAGCAAAAAGAAATTATATTATACTAAATTTTTATAACAGATCTCTTTATAACCAATGAAATACCCACATATACTGACAATACGACAATTTTAGCATCATATAAAAAAACGAAATCAAAATTTTATAGAATAAATAAAATTGAAATGTTAAAAAAAAATCGAAAATCAAATTAAATCAATTCTACAAAATACATACCATCTCTTCAAAAAAATATATAGAGCATTTTGAAAATCTGTCAATAAAATAAATGACTTGATTAGTAATTTTTGATTTTAAGCAATTTTTTTTTTGCAAAAATTTTCGTTTTGATTCTATTATAATTACTATTATTTAATTAAACAAAAAATATTAATCTACAGAGTGTAGGCTGTAATGCAATAATTAGCCAATATTTTTCAAAGTTAATAACTCGTTAACAAAACTGAAACGAAAATTTCTGCGAAAAAATTGTTTGAAATCAGAAGTCAATTTTAAGTCTTGTTAAATTCTCTGTTTAGCAAAAGCAAAAGCATGCTAAGTATCTTAAGCAATTTACCTAAAAATAATATTTAATATTTAAAAATAAGAAAAAGAAAAAGCAATTAGATATTAAACTAAAGAAAACTGAACAATAAATTATTAATATATAAAAATGCTGTAATATCAATATGATCATATGGAAATTAAATATAAGATTGTTTTAAAAAATACAACATCAATTCTTAAATTTAAATAAATTTAAATAAATAAAATAAATTTAAACAAGTTATTTAACATTTTTAAAATTTTTAAAAAACTTCAAAATGATACTGTAATATATTACAAATCGAATAGATCTTCAGATAAAATAGATTCATCTAAAATCAAATGAAATCGCATAAAAAATATATAAATACATTAAGTAGAAATTTTATGAAGAATTTATCACAATTTAAATAATTGAAAAGAACAAATATAAAATAATTAATTATAATAAATTGATTCCTGAAGGATTATTTGTAAATGATTATTATCTTGTCGCACATACATATAGATGTAAATCATATTTGAATGATCTATTAGATCAGTTATTATATTTAAATTAATAATAATTTTAAGTAAAAAAAATTTATCTTTAACTTTAAAATGGTAAAATGGAAATATATTAACATTTTGGAGATAGACATTTTAAGATAGATTAATACAAAATTTATTTAAATTTAAGAATTAATGGAATTTAAAAATATTTATAATTACAGTATTATTATTTACAATTGTAATACATAATTATAATTTGAATTTGTGCAGGATGCAAAAAGAGATGAAGGAACAGTTGCAAATTTTATCGGAAAGACTTCTGAAAGCGGTTACACTACGAATAACAGAAATCATCAATCGTACAATTCGTGAAAACGTGGCGTTGAATCGTGATCTAGATAAACTGTTAGAAACAAATAAGAAACTCGAAAATATTAACATCGAACACAAAAAAGTAGAACAGATATTAAAGTTAAAATGGCAATTGTATGAAAAGGAAGCGGAAATTACACAAAATAAAATAGTGAAACAAAGAAATGAGATGCATAAAATTGTTGAGGTAAAATTATTAATATTATTTATATTAAATATAATATAATTATTATACGAGTTTATAATATAGAAGATATATTTTCTGTTTCCTGACAATAAGAACTTGAATATTTTTTATTTTCAACATTTTCAATTATTGATCTTCAATTTATATATAATATAAATTATAATATAATTTATTATAATATAATATTTTTTAATTTATTGATTTATTATAATTTTTTTATATATATTAAATAATAAAGTACATTCCTATTCAAAAAACTTAAACCAAAAAAACTTTTTTTTTTGATAAAACTTTCATATATAATTAATCAATAACATTTTATGAAATATTATATATTATAATATTATATAATATTACATAAATTTTATGTAACTGATAAAATTTAATGGTACAGAAATTAATAATATATATAAAAAATTTTTTGTTTTTAAAATTATTTGAAAACTAAAATCAATTGTCAAAGTTCGTGAAAAAAAAAGAAAAAATAATGCTCTTTATATATATTTCAAGGTTAAATTAACGAGAAATTGACAAATTTAATCAATGAATTAATATAATAACTATAATAATTTTTTTGAGTTGGTCATTTTAAAATAAAAAAAAAAATTAAAAAAATAAAATTAATCTGAATAAATTAATTTAATGAAGTTAGAATTTGAATATATATTTTATATTTATATTTTTATATTTTATATTTTATATTATTTATATTCAAATATAAATAATTTTACAGAATTTTGAATCTCTCCTAATATATTATGGAAAAGCAGAAAGAAGTAATGTTCGTCTTAAACGATTAGAAGATATTTTGCAAGATAAGATTAAAGAAAATGATATGTTAGAGAAGGAAATAAAGAAATGTAAAAAGAATATCATAAAAGCTAAAAATGAAAGTGAACAATTAACGAAATTAACTATAAAAAGAGAGGGAGAGTTAAAATCTTTGAAAATTGTTTTAGATAACGCTACTATTTTTCTTAACAAGGCTATAGAGGTGATTATAATTTTAATAAAATTTTATTCCAATTTTTTACTTTGTTTTTCTATTCAATAATATATTTCGAAAAAAATAAATGATTAATTTTATATATAATAATTTAAAAAAAATTTTTTTTATTAATTGTGATTCTGATGGAATTTCTTATTTTAAATATTAAATCGAAAACAGAAATGCTTCATTATCTTTTTTTTTGAAAAATATGAGGTTCTAAAAATGCATGATTTTATCTAAAATCCAACTGTTACGCGAAAACAAAAAAAAAAATTTAATTTAATTTTAAACAATATGGAAAAGTTTATATATTAATATTAATATTTATTATATTTTTTATTTTTGTGTAATTATAAAAAAATTATCAAAATATAAAAAAAAAAATTGACGACTTTTATTGTAAAATTTTTGCACTTTTATGAAGAAACTGCAAAAAATTTGTTTTTATAAATAATTCAAAAAGTTATTTAAAAATTTATTTACATAAAAATACAAATTTATTATATAATTACAAATAAACATTTTTATTATTTATTATTTATTTCAATTATAGCCAATTGTACCAAATAACCAATATATAAATCATAATAAATTAAACAAAAAAAATAATTATCATTGATATCACAATATAAAATGGACTATACTATACTGAATTTATTACTATACAATTTATAAGAGACATAACATAATATAACAAAACATTAAATTATAATCAATTTAAAAATATTTTAGAGAATTCTCAAAACAAAACAATCATATATAAATATAAAAATACATAAAAAATAGTACTCAGTCTTCTTCATGTATTATATATACATGTAATTATATTTTATAAAAACAAAAATATTATAATTTAAAAATTAATTTATTAAAATTACTAAGAAATTACTGATATCTCTAGATATCAACTTAACAGATTTCCTGATCTCTTCATTCAAAGATAAGATTAATATTTAAATATATAATATATTCTTAATAATATATAGTATACTTTTATTCTAAAAAAATTTTACTACAAATTAAATATTTATGTATTTCGAAGAAATTTATTATATCAAACAAAATATTACAGTGGAATATAAATAATTTTATGCATGATTTGGATTTCAACGAAAACTATTCATTAATTATGATTAAATATATTATGTTTATAAGAAACAAATTTAAGAAAAAATTTAAAAAAAAATAAATGATTCAGTATCAAAAGTATTGTGTTTATAAGAAAAAAATTTAAGAAAAAATAAATGATTCAATATCAAAACTATTTTTTCAGTGTCAATATAAAATATTACATTCAAAAGTAAATCAAATGTTATAATTACAAATAGTAACATCATAATTTATATAAAACAAAAATTATCCTACTTTAAAATAATAACATTTAAAATTAACCTCGAAGTAATTATATTTTCATTTATTATTCAATTACTCTATTTCAAAAAAAATATACATTTATATAATTTATATATCAACTAAACAAAAGAATATGAATTAATCAATTTCACATAGCAATTCTCTAAATTTTTTATTTTGATAAAAGAATAAATGATCATATGTTATAGAAATTCAATTCTAGAGAAAAAATTATCAAAAATGTAATACCTAAATCCAAACTTATTAAATAACATTGAATCGACATATTTTATAATATATTTTATAATATATAAAAATTTCTAATCGAATTAATCTGATTTTTGTTTTGTAATATTATTTAAAATTTATGATTTCTTAGAGTATTTCTTAGAAATACTCTATTCAATAGTATTTCTATTTCAATAGTATTTCTTAGAATCATAAGATAATAATCACTTCATCTTATCATTTGATTTTTATTATATTTTTTTATTTATCGAAATAATAGAAAGAAATTCAAATGCCGAAATGGAATTTTAAGAAAAAAAAATTGGATATCATAATATAATGAAACAAAATATTCCACTATTAAAAATCTTCAACAAGAGAAATTCTAAAAGAATTGATTATTGAAAGAATTCTTGATAAAATCAAGATTGTAAAAATAACATAAATAATACAAACATATGACTTCAATATCTACAAACAATATAAAATTGATGCAAATTGAGTTCAAATTGAGAAAAATAGCAAAGAAAATCTTAAAATATATCAGAAGAAATTTATAGATTAATTACATATCTTCATTAAATATAAAATATTAAATAATGAAATATAAACTAAGCTAAAGAAAATTAATCAAAAAATCAAGTTCTAAATTATCATTATAAATAGATCAAATAATTCTAATATTATATATTAATAATTCCAAAGAAATAAATAATATTTTAATAAATATATTTATTATGAATTCCAGAAATAATAAATTTCAATTCAAATTTCCTCTATATTGAATCCTACGCCAAAAAAATTTCAAAGAATGATGTCATCGTGAATTAACAATATTCTGAATAGACAAATACAAGTCTTAAATGATAATTAAAACAATTAAAAATTAAAAATTTAGAAACTCATAATATCAAACATTTTTATCTAACAAATATTAAAAATAAAACTGTAATAACTTTTCTTTTCATTTTTACATTTCTTTAATTATATATAATTGAACAACATATTTTATAATAAACAGCACGAAGCCATAATTGTTTCTATATTAAAATCTAATAAAAATAAATCCCAATAATTACAAACTTATTGTTTTGTCTAACATAAATTGCTAGAAAAATTTTAAACAAAAAATTATGATATTTGAAGAAATTCATTAGAACAAAATGCTAAATTCAAAACAATGCTTATCAACAATTTACAATTTTTTATAACATTGCAAACATATGTGAAGTCTTTTTCAAAAAACAATATTTAATTCCAACTTTACAATACAATTTACAAAAATTAACGTCAATAGAAATATATTTTAACATATAATAAAAATAACTTCTTAAAAAAAAATCGATTTATGTTTATCAATGATCACTTTTTGAATAAAATCATAATTGAAAATGGAATGCCACAGGATTCTATTATAAGTATTATGTTATTTTTGATAACAATAAATGATACTGTATATGATAAAAGTAATCATTAAAGAAGTTATGTATTTATTTGCTATACATTCTTTATTATTAAAAGATTATAAAAACTAGGCCAACAAATTTTGCAAATTTAAATAATTTGATAAATTTCAAAATTTTATTTTTAAATTTTCCGAAAGCAAAATTACGGTAATTATTTTTTCAAACGATAAGAAAAACATCAATCCAAATTATATTTTAGATTACATCAATTCAGGATAATAGATTCACCTAAAATTTTTAAATTGATTTTTTAATAGATTGATATGGATTCCATTTCTCAAGAACCTGAAAATCAAATACAATTTAAGATTTAACATCATAAAAAATATTAAATTAAATTAAATTTCCTATTTCCTAAAGCCTTATAAAGTAATTCTCTTCAAAAATTACAATTCAATCATATACAATTCGGCAAAACCTTATATATTATAAACATTATCAACTTATATTCATAATACAAGAGATAAAATAGCAATTAGTATTTATCAAACAAGTCCAATCATAGAATTATTATTTGAAACAAAACTAATATTATTTGAAATCAAAATAATTTTTCACAAAATAATTAACAATAAATTTAATTATATCATCAAAAATTTCAATACTATCAAATCTCATACATGACATAATAATGATTGCAGAGAAACACTAATAATAATGTCTTTTTAAAAAATTAAAAATTTTAAAAACGTTTAAAATGTTTAGAAGAAAAATGTTTAGAAGACATACAAATCGAAATTCCATCTGTTCTTCTGAAAAAAACAATTCTCATTTATGCTATGGATAATAGAAATTTTTCACATAATTAACAAATTTTCAAAAATAATTAAAAATAATGAAGTATTCTCCAAATCTATTTTTGGAATTAGATAATGATTATCCAAATTACAACAAACAATTATTTATTGGTACTTCAAAGTTAGAATAACAAAGTGCAGTATACTTTCAAAGATAAATTTATTGAAACTATTAAATATTTTCATAATTTTATGAACGAAACACATGCTCCATTTTCCAAACTATCTTATCTGAAGTACAAAAATTAAAAACTAATGACATAATAATTAGTTAGAATTATAGAATAATATCAGTTAGATATTATAGATTATAAATAATATTTTTTCGATTTTTAATTTTTATAAATTATGAAAATATGAATGATTTTATCACTATCATAATACTATATAGAAACTATATAATAAATGTTAGTATCAATAAGTTACAAGAATTCTCTCCTATTAAAATTAAATTAAATATATTTTTATCCATAAAATATTTTATTTTTGAATAAAAAATTGTGTATTTTAGAAAACCTCATATTTTTCAAAAAATAAAAATGATCTAGCATTTCATTTATATTTATTAGGATGAAAATTTCCACTAGAATCACTGCAAAAATTTGTATTAAATAATGAATAATAATCATTATTATTAATAGATTTAAGTTTTGTTTTCCTTTATGCATTTTCGTTTAAATTATTTGCATGTATCATTAATATGCTATTGTTTATTTTATATTCAATGGATAAAAATTTCGATTATAAATAAATAAAAGTCATATAAAATTTAAATTTCTTTTTCAAATTTTTTTAATTATATATTTTTAATTATATTTTTTTTAATTATATATATTTTTTTTAATTATATATTTTTATTTACTATATAATACTATTAATATTACATATAATATTTTTTATTATATTAGTCAATACAATTAATTATTTTCTTTAAAGAAAAATTTTATTAATTAATTTATATCAAAGAATTATTTGTTTTTCACATAAATATATTTTTTAAATTCAATATTTTAAATCATATATTAACATTTTCTTATAATAGCTTTCAACCATTTGATGCGAATGTTGATATATTAATATATTATATATTATATTAATATATATTATATATTATATATTTATATTAAAATAATAATTTCAAAATATTTTCTAAAATTATTTTCAATATAATTTTTTTTTATCAAAATATATTCCTTATAAAAATATTCAATTTTTATTTAAAATATGTTTTGCTTAGATAATTAACATAAATCAATATAATATGTTATCCATTCTAAATGCTTAATTTGAAAAATAAAAAAATATTCAAATAATTCAAAAAATTTTTTCATGCTATATTTTTATTTATTATAATAATTTTTTATTTTATTTATTTATAATAATTTTTATACTTGCTTTTAAAAAAATATATTTTATAGTTATTTATATGTAAATAATAATTAATTATAAATATTAATTTTAACAAATATAATAACAAATATTTTAACAAATATAATTTTAACAAATATATAATTAATTATGATGAATGAAAATAATTTATATTTAGATTGTAGAAGAAGTTTATAGTAACAACAAATGCCTTGGACCGTTAGCATCAGAAATGCTTCATTCTCTTATGGAAATATTGCAAACTGATACTATTATCAATATTGTAGATTACACACCATCTGAGGTGCGTATTTTTATATCAAACATAATTATTAAAAAGGAATTTCATACAATTAATTAATCGTAAAATATGTATATGTGTATATATTTATTTTTTAGCTTTTTCGACTTTAAAAAAAGAACTTATATTTTATATTTTACATATTATTATATTCATTCTTCTATTCTACATTCATACATGTTATACTACATCTTTCTAATGCATTTATGTTATATTTCATTTTCTCTATTTTTGTATAGCTTTTCTTTGTATAGATGTTTCATGATACTTTGATTTTTTTCACATAGTATACATTTTCATTCAACATTCATTATTTTTTTGACATTTGAATTTTTTTAGCCTATATTTTCTAACTGTTATCTTTTTTTTAATATGTAACTGTTATCTTTTTCTTGCTCTTCGACTTTTCTTGCTTTTTTCTTATTCTCATTTTTAATTTTTCTTTCTTTATTTCTTCTAATAGTAATTTTTTAAGTCTATACAATATACTTAATTCCATTATATATTTCCATCCAAAGATCTCTATACTAATTAAACTGATAAACGCTTATCATTATTATTATATATTATATATATCATTATTATTATATTATAACATTAGGTGGTTGAATATTTTATTTTTAAAATCATCATTGAATATTCTTTTTTTATATATTTTTTTAGTAATCTAAACTTTTATTAAAATATTTGTTTTTCTTATTCTTTTTTTTTTTTACATGTTTTTTTTATATTTCTTAAAATTATAAATTCTTTTGAAATTTAAAATCTACATAAATATTTTGTCTATTGATTTTCTTGCCCGTTTCTATTCTTTTTCTTTCTTTTTTTTCTTTCTGAACATCGTTTTTAATTTTTTTACGTTAGATTTTAAATTTTTTCTTTTCAAAAATCTGTTTAACTTTTTTATCATATTCTAATCATATTCTTCTATTCTATTGATAAATTAATATTAAGAGAATTAGATTCATATATATATACAATTATAATTTTTCTTTTATTTTTCAATTTTTTCCTCCCACTTTCTTTTTGAATAATTCTTTATTGATATAGATTGATAAAAACATGGAACTTAAAATATATTTTTTAACTAATTTTTTATATCTCTTTTATAAAATATATATTTCTTCTATATAAAATATATATCCTTTCTTATCAAATCTAAAATATATCCTTCTTCAAATCGAAAATAATTTGATGTTATTTTTTTTATATATTTCATTTTTTATATATTCATTATTTCCCATAGAGGAAATTTTTTATTTACATATACAACGAAAAAAGCTTTATTTTATATATGTTTCTTATCTCTTTTTCTACTATGTATATAAAACATATATCTCGTTCATAGTAATTTTTTTTTTCAATTGAATTGCGATATCCAAAATTTTTTTTTTTCAAATTTTTAATTTTTCACTCAAAATTATCCTAAATCTTATTATGTTGTGCATAATAGATTCACAATTCTATAATATTCTATAGTTACTTATAATATTTTTATTCCTTTTATATATTTTTATGTATTTTTATGTATTAAGATTATTTTGACATTCCACATTTCTTTAATAACACTTTCAATCAAAAACTTTTTCTCGTTTTTTCTATCAAGTTCGAAATTCTAGCTATTTTTTTCCCAAAATATTTATATAAATAAATATTTATTTGTCTTTTTATTTCTATAAAAATCACAACTCAATTTGTCTTTCTTCTTTCGCCTCTTATTTATATCTTTGATTTTTTCTTTTTTATTTTCATCTTTTTCATGAAGTACTTATATTCATCCAATTCAATTCCTATATTTAGCATTCTTTCTTTTTCTTTTTATTTATATATTCTCATTTCTGCAAATCTAATCTTATCTTTTTAATTTCTTTTAATTTTTTCTCTCTTTTCTTTTTCATCTTTATTTCTTTTAAATTTTCTAATATTTTTCTTTTCTCGCAACTCTACTTTTCCTCATTTAATTTTCTTTCAATTTTTTAATTTTTTTTTACATTTTTTTTTTGTCTTTTGCAAGTTTTTATCATTTTAAATCTTCCATCTTTTTTATATTTTATTTTTCTTATATTTAAAATATATAATAAAAAATAATATTACATTATAATCATTAACATAGTAATTGCATATTGATAATCTATTGATTTATACATTTTATCAAAAAGTCGTCATATATAAGAAAAAAATGATTGTATTTTTGAAAGATCTCTAATTAATATGAAATTTGAGATGCTAGAAATGAATTTTAATGTTAGATAAAAATTTTAGCTTTGAGTATTTAATAGTTTTGAGATATTATTTAAAAAAAAATTTCGATTACATTGAATTATTGAAAGCTATATATACAGATATTATGAATATATTGAATGCTATCTAATCAATAATTTTTACTAGTAATTTTTACTTAATAATTATTGTCGTTGAATATTAAATAGTCGATGATTATTATTATATCTAGCTATATCTAGCTATTTCGATTTATTATATCTAGCTCAATATTTATAATATATTCCATCTAAATCCATTTGTTTTCTACTCGAAATTACTCATTTTAAAAAAATAATAATTATTGTTATTTTAGCATGTTTCGAATACAAGCAATATTGTAATTTTATATTGAATTAAATTAATATTTAAAAACGAATTTTATGTAAGAATATCCATGTTATCAAATTATAATTAAACAAATTATAACTAAGAACAAATGTATATTTCATTTCGATATTATTGAAAATAAATATTATATTTTTATATTACACATTTTTTGTTAATAATTTTTTAATAAATATGCGACGGTTAAAATTTCTTGAAATTATTTGAAAGAGTATCTTTAATAACGTATATCAACATATGTAAGATCATTAAAATTATTTTTCTTATAATTATCAAATTGAATAATTAATCAAAATGAATAATTATCAAATTTTATTGTTCATAATAATTGTAAGATTTATAAAGTTAATGTTTCCTTAGTTGTAAATTGTTTTTCATATACTTATATATATGTAATATAATATTTCCCAAAAATTTTTGAATGGAATTGTAATCTACAAAATGGACATACCATTATATTGATTGAATTTGTTCTTTCAAATTATTTTTTCGTTTATTTTGAATTATAAATATTACAATTAAAATACATTATTCTTCTAAAATACATTATGTATATATTTATAATAAATAGAACTTTAGAAATTTTGCATATATTTTTATTAAAATTTTATATTTTTTATGATTATAAAATTTAAAAATAAATTATATTATAATTTTATTAATATTATTATTTAATTTTATTATTTATTTTATTATTAATTAATATAAATAAATATAAAATCAAATAATATATTGAATTAATGAATTGTTTATAATATTATATTTACTAATATTTAATAGTTTAATACTACATTTTATAATACATACATTTTTTATATCTATATCTATAAAAGAATGGTATGTGCTAAATTAACACTAATAAATTTCGTTAATTTTATCATCAATAATAATTAATATCAATAGCATCATCGACTTTGATATGATAATAATAATTAATCAACGAACATAATTCTATTAATAAGATTTAAATTATGTCTATTTATATAATATATATGACACTACAAAAAATTTTTTATTTATTTTGAAAAATAATTGATTAAAGCTAAAATTTTATATATATTTGAAATTCAGTTTTCTTTGATTCTAATAATTCTCCAAATTTCGTATTAATTAACTACTGGATTAGTTAATTAATTTTTAGATTTTTCGGAACTATAGTCAAAAACTACTATTTGATATAATGTAGAATGATTCATTGACATTTCATTGACTTTTTAATATGCTCTTTAGTTCTAAATTTCAGTTCTAAATTTCTTTAGTTCTAATTTAGTTTAAAAACTTTTTTTTTTACATATAATCCGTGAACGATAATATTTTAAATATCTTTGCAAAAAAAAAATTGAAAAGGCTAATTATATAAAATTGTTATAGAGATTGTTATAAAAGAAAAGTTGTTATAAAATCGATATAAAAGAAATTCATTTTTTTTTAATTTTATATTTATAACTATTATATATGTACAATATAATATATATTTATAAAATTTATAAATATAAAATTAAAAAAAAATGAATTTCTTTTATATCGATTATTATAAAAGAAAAGTTGTTATAAAATCGATATAAAAGAAATTCATTTTTTTTTAATTTTATATTTATAAATTTTATAAATATATATTATATTGTATATATATAATATTTATATTATATTTTATAGATTGATAAATTTGAATGTACATACTTATTGGGATCTTTGGGTCTTATTGAACCTGTTATATCCAGTATACCTGTTAAAAAAGAAGAAGAAGAAGAAGAAGAAAGAAGTATTCACATACCGGAAGAAGAAGAACCATTTAAACCATTTAAAGGATTAGAAAAAATAGAAACGTTAAGTGACATCAGCTCTACTATTTCCTCTCCCAAAGAAGATTAATTCTTAATTGTAAATTTTGGTACATTATTATATTATAATTTTAAATTATATGGAAGTTATACTTATAGAAAATGGTCAACATTTTATTCTTTTAAAATCTTATATTTATATTTACAATATTTTATGTTAAAATAATGTTATTATTTCTTTTATGCAATAATATATATACAATTAAATATAATTTATTTATTAAATATAATTTATTATAAGAAGGATTCATAAAAATATATCTTATATATACGTTTCGTACTGCCTAATTTATTAGGCAGATTTATTTTATTATGTATATACATATTACACATACGGAATTTTTTTAAGTTTTTGCATAAAACTTGCATAAAAATATTTAATAAATTACAGAATAAAATATTTATCAGAATAAAAGTTTCACGTGAATGTATCTATGAATAAATATAACTAATTCCACAAAAAATAATATATTCATTATACTTTTAAAAAGTTTGCTATAAAAAAAATTAAAGAAAAAGAATAAAGAATTGGAAATTTACAGTATTACACTTCTCGACAAAATGATAACATATCCTATGATTTTCTATATTTTTATATTAATATAATATATTCAAATTTTATATACATATAAATTCAATTACAATTTTTTTGACAAGAAAAAATTAATAATATTACGATATTACGATAATATACGATAATATACGATAATATTACGATAATATACGATAATATACGATATTTTTTTAATGGAAAAAACGATTAGCCATTTCCCCACTTTTCTGAAAAAAAAATTTTGTTTCTTCTATGGCTGATTATATGCACATTATTATTGATATTTCGTAATAAAGTTAATCATTTAATTTATAAAAAATGCTCTTATTTTTTAATTTAAATAAATTTATCAATATATAATAATATAATAAATTGTTTCAAAATTTGCTATTAGTTAGTTAATAATATAAAAAATTTAAAAATGATATTGAAATGATATTATATCTTTATATCTTTTGAAAATCATTAATTATTAACTTATAATGAAAAAAAAAAAGATTAATACATTATTTAAAAAGTTGCAACAATAGCATCAATAGCTACAAATTTGGAAAGTTATTGAAAAAATAATTAAGGAAAAAGGAAATAACATTAAAAAAAATTAAAAAAAATTAAAAAAACATAATTTGGTTTAAGGATCTTAAAATTAATCGATTTTTATCAAATAGACATTCATGATATTAGAGAAGAAAGCAAATCTCCATTGCAATGTTAAGCAAATGATTAAATTTGACAATTTGTTTATAATAAAGATGGATATATGCATAAGATATATATTTATTACATTGGATCGAAAGAATAATGAACACTTATAAAGATATTTTAGAAAAAAATTTGAAATTGAAAATAGTTAAAAACATGTTCGCAACAGAAAGTGATATCATATAACTAATATGATAATGATCCAAAACATTATGCAAAAAGTGTGAAAAATTAATTGCTGGTTCAATTCAAACTTTAAAAAAACTCAAAATTCAAACATGAATTCTATAAAAAATATTTGAGTATATTTATTATAAACAAATAAATATATGACGCTTTTTCATCAGCATTATTATTAACTATTAACTTGATTTGGAAAAGAAATAATATTCTATTACGAATATTATGAAAACAAAATATTGTTATATTAAGTATATATATATATATATATATATATATATATATATTATATTAAGTATATATGAAATGTATATATGAAAATATATATATTATTGAAATAAAAAACTTATGAATTAAATACTAAATTTAAAAAAAAATTAATCAAAGAAATAAAAAGATTCAAATAATAAGATATTTTTTTATTATTTTTTTTTAGTTCCATGCTTCTGCAATTATAGTTTATATTATATTAGTAATTATATAGTATATAGTATTAACTATAATTTATTATAACTAATGTTTATAGAAACATTTGTTAGAGATTCCTGAATAATTTTAAGCAACTTTTTGCTTTGCAAAAATTTTTGTTATAATTTTATTAATGAGTTTTATTAATGAATTAATAAAAAACACTGGCCAATCACGGAGTGTATATTTAGCTTAATCAAATCGAGATAGTAATGTTGATTATGTGCCCCTAACCAAATACAAACAAGTTTAAGTAATATATCAAAGAAAATATAATATTATAATATTGAATATTATAGTTTATTCATTGCTCGTAATACAACTTTTTATCGATAAAAAATATTTATTATACTTAATACATATTTTCTTCGATATATATTATTCCATAAGAAATTTTTAAACATCTTGTACAATAATAAAACAATTTGATAATGAATTTATTGATTAAATATTAATCACTGTATTTAAAAATCTAATTATGAAATTCTTTTCATTTTTTTCTATTTTTTTTTTAATTATAATTTTTAATTTTATATATATAAAATTATATATAATTATAATTTTTTTTTTAATTTTATAATTATTTAAAAGAATTAGATAAAATATAAAATATAAAATATAAAAAAATATAAAAAGAAAGTTTGAATATAAAAATAAATTGAAAGAAAAAATCAATAACTAACAATCTTTTGAAAGAAGTTACTTTGGAAAACTTTATTGATTAAAACTTTATTATTTACGTACGAGTGAAAAAATGTTTTGTTTTCTCTAAAAGAGGGTAAAATATACAATAAAAAAAAAAAATTATATTATTATGCATAATGCTCTTTCGTCTACATTGAAGTTATAAATTATTTTTCATTAGTTAGTTAGTTACTAAAAATATCTTTTCTTTTTTCTTTAACATATATATATTATATTATATAATCTTTATATATATTGTTTCGAATATAGTTAAAAAGGGAAAAATTTTCATTAAGAAATTCAGCAAGTAATATTTTGATATAATATTGTTGATTGGTAAAAATTAAATTTTTTATATGAAAAATAAATTTTAAATCTAACAGGTGTTTATATAAATTTCTATATGTTTTTTATACATATTATTTCTATATGTATACGCTTATTCAGTATTTATAAAATATAGATATAGATATAGAATCAAAATAATCCATTTATTTAATAATCTTATAATAATCTTATTTAATAATATTATATATAAAAATTGGAAATATAATATATATAATATTTAACAAATTTATAACATAAATATAACATATCAATAGATATATTCTTACAAATCTTAGATCCTTAAATATATATATATATATTATTTTTATTTTTATTTTTTATTTATATTTATTTTTTATTTATATTTTTATTTTTTATAGATTATATATATAAAAAATAATATAGATTATATATATAAATTATGAATAATTACGACAATAAAATTATTGCCATAATGAGTATGTTATCTACTCTACCATGTGAAAAGTGGCTCAATTTTCCTACGGTGAATTTTTGTAGAATGAAAAATATGTAACGTCATATTATTCCCAGTGCTACTGTGATATCAGGTAGAGATGCGTCACATGAACAAGTTTTTATCCAAACCAAATTCGTCTGATAATTCTGTTTATTATTTCTATTACATATAAAATTTCTACATTATACATAATGTAGAAGTGAATAAAAATGTGAATAAAAGAAAAAGAATTAAAAAAAAAATGCCTAAAAAAAATCAAACAAGGTTAGTAAAATTGTAAAAATGAAATAAAGAATATATTAAACTATTAAATAGTGACTTTTTAATTTATTAATTTATTAATTCTTTATTTTAATATTATATAATAATATTAAATACTTATAAGATGTATAGAAATATTAATTTGAATTTCTATTTTTGAATATAAAAATTAAAACTAAAAATTTATAGAAAAATATATTAGATATCAAGAGGTTAGTTTAAATAAAATATATACATTAATAATTAATATTAATATTAATATTATATAAATTATAATTTCATGTCAGATTTTATTTTTATCAGTATTAAAAAATTACAAATTAATATAAATAAACAGAAAAAATTATTTATAAATACTATATATTGAATTGAATTATTTTCTCAGAATTATTATACAAATTTTATACATTATTTTTTATTTTTGTATAATATTTAATATATTATTTTGTTTATATTTAAAAATACTTTTTATTTGTACAAAAACTATATTATATATAAATTATAATTATTTAAAATATGAAATAATTTATTTCTATAATAATATCTATTTAAATTTAATTAAAATTTAAATAAATTAAAAATCATTTGCTTTAAACTATTATTATAATTATTATTAAAAAATATTTTTTATAATTTCTTTTTATATATATATTTCAATTTAAAAACATTTATTGTATATACATATAATATTGATTTTATATATTTTTTGTTACATTCATTAAATTAATCAAATATCAAATTAGAAATAAAAACATAAAAGAAAAAAAGGAAAAAAAAGAAAAATCAGAAATTAAAAAGGACAATCAATATTTTGAAGATATCATTGATATAGATGAAAATATCTCAAAGGATTTTGAATTTCTATCAAATGCACCAATTTCAGAAAATGATCATTTTGTTTTTCAATCAGAAAAAGATTGGACCATTGATATTTCCAAATATTCTGAATTTTTTACAATAGATCTAAAGACATTATCTGCAGCAATAGAAGCAATTCCATTTAATAACAATGTTAATATTGATACAAAATATTTTACTGTAAGTTTAATAATTTAATTATTTTTTAATTTAATTATTAAATCAAATTATTCAGTTCAATATTAATTTCTTGAAAAAAGGAAATATTATTTATATGTTAATATTATTAGGATGATCAAATAACAGATATTTATAATAATGCTGAACGAGGAAAAGAGAAATATAACAAAATATTAAGTAATACAGAAGAAATAGTTACAAATATTATAAAAGATGAAAACAAAAATCAAGATTCACTAGAAAATACAGCTGAAGAATTAGATTTTTTATTATCATGTCGAGAACCTATAAATGATCCTTTAATGATTGTAAAATCTTTACCTTTTTCTTGTAATACTGGTATGTATATTATATATACATATATACATTTGTAGATATTTATAATAATATATTTTATATAATTTTTTTAATATATACATTAATAACAAATACAAATTTATTATAGATTCAAAAATAAAAACTAAATCTAATACATCTACTAAATCTTTAGATTTAGAAAAGTGGTTGGATTCCATATTGGATGATTAAATAAAAATTATCATTAATTATCTTATTATTTCTTATTTTAAAATGTTATATGTTAAATGTATCAAAAAATTTGTTACATATTGTTCTCTATATACAACTTTAAACTTTTGTTAAATTAAGATTTCTTATAATAAAAAAAATAAATAAAAATCATTTAAATTAAGATTTATTGTAATAAAAAAAATGAATAAAAATCATTTTTCTTTGTCTTAATATATATTGTATTATTATTTTTATAAAAATTTTGAAGATTAAAAAAAAAATTTCATAATTCTTTACATAACTCTTTTTACTGAGAAATATTTTATTTTCATATGACAAAAATTAATAGATGATATTAAATTAATTAACAAAATAATTAAAAAATATCCTAAGTTTAATATTTAACATTGAATTATTAATTTATGAAACAAATAAAAATTTATTTTATAAATAGACAAAATTAATAATGATATTAATGAAGATATTAAACTATCTATTTTTTTTTTTACAATATATTTTAATTTTTTTATATAAATATTTCAAATTTTTAATAGAAAATATAATTATTATAATTTTCTTATAAAAAAAAAAATATATTTATATAAATTTAATATAAAATCGGATAAATCTAATCTCTTGAATGATATAATTCTTTATTTTATATTGTTAAATTATTTATATATTTATATAACGAATTATTAATTATTAAATATTATTATTACTGCTAAATCTAAAGATAAATTTCAATTATAATATTAAAAAGCTAATAATAAGGAATTATTTACTTGAACAATTTTAAAAATGTTAGTAAAAAATGCACAATTCAGACTACTAATCTAAAATTTTACTTAGTTGCCAAACTGCATATTTAAATATATTTTCATTTTTTCATAAACTATAAGCATAATTGCACCACCTGGTCCTAATCGTAAGATTTTTGGTAACAATCCTTTATACAAAGCTCTAAATCTAAAATAAAGATATTCACAAACTATAAATATTAAAAAGAATTTCATTATATAATTTATTGTGTAATATTTATTTAACAATGAATAGTATAGATTAAAACAATGTTAAAAAAAAAATTGCAGTAATTATGAAATTTGAAAATATTAAAAATTAATAATTCAAAAAAGAATATTATATAATTGAATAATAATAAAAAAATAAATTCAATTAAAATAATTATTTTTTTTCTAAAATAAGTATAAAAATATAAATTAATAATTTCTTACCCTTCTCTATGATAAACTAAATAAATAGTTTGCAAAGTACCCTTATATTGAATTTTTTCCTGTGGACCTTGGATACGACTTTTAGCAACATCAAATGGTATATTCATACAGGATGCCACTGTTCCAGATATAAAACCTACAGTAAACTAAAAAGAAACATTATGTTTATTACATTAATAATATTTTTGATATTATAATCATTATTAATTTATTATTTTACTTATAATATATTATTATTTTATTTACAATAAATATAGGTTTCTTATTATTAGTTCAATATTTTACTTGTAATATATTATTATTATATTTACAATAAATTTATATTTCTTATTATTAAATTAATTCTAAGAACAATCCAATTGTTTCCAAATTGAAATATTTTGCATCATATAAAGATATCTTTTTAATTCATTTTTCTAAAATTATCATTATCATATATATTATAATTTGCATCTTTATAACAATATAATATATATATTATATATATAAATTATATATAATATATAAATATATTGAAAATAATGTATTATATATAAATATATTTTTATATAAAAATAATTATATGAAGAAATATATTCATATAAATGTAAAAAATTTCAAATTAAAATTAATTAAATGTAGAAAATTAAATGCATAATATTTCAATAGAAAAAAGAAATCAAAATATTAAAATAATATTAGATATTTATCTAAGATCAAATTAATTTCACATAAAATACATTTTCAAATATTAAAAATTTTAAAGCAAGTTTTAAAAAGAATTAAAAATTAAAATTAGATAATTTTTAAAGATTCCCTATATATATGTACTTTCTGTTTTTATAATTTCATAAATTTCATTATAATATATTAGAATATACCTTAAGAAATAATTCTGAAGTATACTCATTTTTTTTATTTAACCAAGGAATGATAGAATTATAGATACCAAAATAGAAAGAATTAAAAATTGCATTTCTCATTATTGTAGCAGATAAACCTTTATTAAGACCATTTAGTCCAAAACCTTCTTTGCAAAGAATATGTCGAGTCACAGCAATAGTTGATGGACTATCACTAATGTGTTTACGATTAGATTGCATTTGCACTTTAATTACTTCAAATGGATTTATTAAGATTGCTTCTGTTACACCAGTTAAGAATCCAGCGCAAAAAAATGTCTAAAATAAAATATTATATAATTAACATTTAAATATTTAATAATATACTAAAATATTTAGATATTATATTATATTATATTATATAATATTATTTGAAAAATTTATATCAAATATATTGAAAATAATGTATTTTTAGAAAAAATATTAAATGCAAAAAGATTATAAATTACAAAAAGGAAATACATCTATCTTATTTAGTTTTTATTTTTTGAGCATTTTCAAAATTATTTGAAAATTAATATTTTTTTATGGAAATATATTTTTATTTGCAGATTTTTCTTCTATATTTAATAAACATTTTTTTTTATCAAACTTCATCTTATGAGAAAGATATTAAATAAAATAAAAAGTTTTTTCAATTTTATTATTTTCAAAGTAGAAAAAAAAATTAAGCAATAAATATTTTTTAATTTTAATTTTTTGATAATTATTTTGATTTTAAAAGTAAAGTAAAATAAATTTACTTTTTAATGTGATTTTTTTTACAGCACAAAAAATTATAATTACAAAAATTTTGCACAATTTTCATAGCATATTTGAAAACGTTCCTTTTATAGTAAATAATTTGTTTAAATTCAATTTTTACTTAGAATTTTTTTTTTTTAATATTTTTTTTAAATATTTTTTCATTTTTTTATTATTCTATTTCTTAAGTCTAAAATATTCAATTACTTGAAAACATAAACAATTTTAATTTGACTGAAGATTATATAACTAAAAACTATTGTAACTTATAAAAATTTAATTTAAAAAAAATTTTTTATAAAAATCAAGTAAAAAAATAAAAATTTTATTTGTATTGCTTAATTTTCTATTCTTTTCTTTGGAAATAGCAAAATTGAAAAAAATTTTTATTTTAATTTTTATTTAAGACAAAATTTAATAAATGTTAAATGTAAAAGTTTTTTTTTTTTCTCTCTTAGAATAAGAAGAAAAATATAACTTTCTGTTATATTTAATAAGAAAAGAAAAACATAGAATTTTATTTTTATCTTAGAAATAAATTTTATTTTAAAAATAAAAATAAATTAATTAATTTTTCGTTTTAATAAATATAATTTGTAAAACTTTTGTATTTGACATTTTTCAGATATTATTTATGAAATTTTTAAAATATTTAGATGAGAAGTTTTCAAATGTATACTCTGTAAATAATATTAAATTATTCAGTTATAAAATCAAATTAAAAATTTTATTATATTGAGGAATATAAATTACTTATAAATTTCTTTACTTATTTAAAAATGATTTTATTTGTAAATATATTTAAATGACAATATAATTTGTGACAATGTAATTAAAATATATTTTAAATTATTATTTAATTAATAAATAATTAATAAAAATAAAATATCAATGATTATATATATAAACAATATAATTAAAATTTTTTCAAATATATTTAAAATCTAAAATAAAACTAGCAATTAAATTAATGAAATTTTTTAACTCAATTATTTTTATTAATTTTATATTTTGACAATGAGATGATCTCCAATATCATTGAAGATATAAAAAAAATTATGTGGCTTGGTAAAATCTACTTATATTCGTACTCACTCAAATCACTCAATTTTTTTTATCTTTATCTAATGAAACAACTCATTTCAATTGGTTCATTTTTTATATAAAAAAATATAATTAAATAATTATATAAGATATTATATATAGAAAAATATTAAAAAAATGATTAATATTCTCTTATTAATATGATTTATAAGAGATTATTAAATTATTGCATGTAAGAATATTTATCATTTTACTTAAATTACAGTGAATAGTTAAAAAAAATTTTGTATTGAAATGTAATAGTAGCTTTGTAATTATAATTGTTTTCAAGAAATCAATTGTGTTTTCTTATTTATGCTTTATAAAACTTCATATCATTTTTAACTAAAAATTATTATTAATGAAATGGAATATTATATATTTTTATTAGTAAAAACATATTTATAAAAATCGAAATGCTTTTTCTTTGTACATACCATTGTTTTTGATGTGTGATTATTAAAGAATTTCTTATATTGTTCAAAGGAGAAAAACTAAAAAAATAAAAAAAAAAATAAGAAAAACAAATAATTTTTTAATTAAATTTTATTTTAATTAACAATAAAAATAAAAAAATAAAAGTTTTTCAAATTACATACTTTTACAGCTCTTTTAGGAGTTTCCATGATAATTGGTGGTAATATACCTTTCCAAAATGCAGCAACTCCTTCATTTTTATACATTTTTTTCATACAATCTCTAATTCCTATAATAAAAATATAATTTAAAAAAATAAATTATAATAATAATTAATTGCAATAAAATAATACATATTACAACAAAAACAAAAGTAATACTAAAATAAAAATATATTAATGATACAATGCCTGTATAATAAAGCACATCTTGTGATCCTGTCTTAATCTGTAGTTGAAAACGTGTTTTAATAAGATCCATAGGATGCATTATACAAGCTTCTACAAAACCTGCAGAACCTCCTGCACCAATTTGAATAATAGCTTCCTTCAAAAGGCTTGGTTTATGTGTGATTTCTATATGAGTCATTTTATTTCAGTCTTTCTTAATAGATATTTAGTTAATTAATTTTCTTAGTTTTTTATAAAAGAAAAAACATATTTTCTTTTAATTTTATATAATTCCTAGGATAAACATAAATTTTGAATTGATTACAAATTATGAATTTAAAATATTACATTTATTTATGTGTTTTTGATATATTTTAAATATTTTATTTTTTTCATAAATTTATTTTACTTACTCATATTAGTTAAAAAATTATATTTATATGAAATATAAAATAAAAATATAAATATTTCCTTTAATTAAAAATACATTTAGTATTTAATTAAATTAAAAATATTATTAAAAATATTATTAAAAATTAACAAATTAATAGAATGTTTTATAAACATTTAAATTTGAAATAAATATAATTTCTTATTTAAAATTATTTTTATTATCATTGTCATCTATTATTTTTCTTATAACAAATATTTTAAAAAATACTATAATATTATATATATATATATA